TCTCTCAGCCCTCCTTTTTGAAATTTTTAAAGACAGGATGTGGCTAAGTTGCCCAGGCTGGACTTGAACTTTTAATACTCCTGCCTTACCCTTAGAATGCTGTGATTACAGGTGTGCACCACTATGTTTGGCTATTTAAAAATTTAAATTGAGGTATAACAAACATGATGAGCAAGTTGTGAGTGTGTGGCTCAATGAGTTTTGACACGCGTAAATACTTGCATAGCCTGATGTAAAGAGAGGGCAGTTCCAGCACTTCAGATAGCACTTTTGACCCTTCACAATCGATACCCACCCCCAACCACAGCTCCTCTGACCTGTTTCCGCAAATCAGTTCTGCATGTTCCTGAACTGCACGCTCCTGAACTGCACATAAATGGAGCCCCACTGAATGTCCTCTTTCTTTCTGCCTCTCATCATTATGCCTGTGAAGTTTACACACATTGTCCAGTGAGAATGAAAGTTGTTCCTTAAAAGGAAAATTATTGTGTGGCCTTCAGCGAATGAATATCACACTGTGTGCCCATTCCACCGTGTTGTCCTTTATGTTGTTCCCAGTGTTTATCATCAGGAGTGAAGCTATGGATAACATCCTGTGTGTGTCTTTGGTGGCCACGTATTCTTGCTTCCCTTGGGAACCCACGGATGAGTGCACTTTCTGGGTCCCTGGGAGTACATAAGTTTGGCTTTATTTTTTAACTTGATTTAATTTTTTTAAACTTACTTTAATTCTTTTTCAATAGTCACTGCCTGACAGTTTTCCCAAAGCAGTTGGGCTGTTTCACGCCCCTCCCCCAGTGACACACGAGTATTCCAACAGCCTCACCAACACTGGGTATGGCAAGTTTTTTTAATACCAGCCATTTGGTGAATGTGTAAGCTGGTCTGTAATTCTTACAATCCAAGAGAATCCAAGCTATGTGTAAAGTTAACGCAGATTCCCTTTTGTCAGTTTTCATTTGGGTACATAATTGCCTTTCATGTTTATTGCCTTTGGAAATGTTCGATAAATACCAGGCAGATTTGCTGTTTTCTCCTTTTTTTTTTTATCGCTGTGCTTTGCACTTGTTGGGTTAATGAGTCATTTTGGCAGGCATATGTGCAAGGGACTGTGGAAAATGTCCTGTGAGACCTGTGTTCTCCAGAGCTGGGCTGGAAATAAACTGGGGGCAGGGAGAAGAAAGCTCAGTGTGGGAGGACTGAGCAGACAGGAAAAGGGGCAGAGTGAGTCTGGAATAGATTCTCCCTATTTTGCCTCCAATCCCATTTCTGGACGCCCAGGGAAGATGTCACGAACAGCTGATTTCAGAAATCAACAGCACTAATGCTGGGTAAGAGGGTGCCCTGGCCAGCAGAGCTCAGGCATTGTCCTCCAGCACCCTACATCGCTCCTGCACCCACCACCAGCCCTGGCCCAGTTCTTCTCACATTCTGCCACTGTTGCTCATTCCTTCCAGCAGTGCCCACGGGGACAGGGCTGCCTGGGCCTCCAGCTAGATAAGACCCTCACAGCAGCCTGTGGCCTCACTCCCTGACTCTCCCTCTCTGAAACTATGATGTTTTGGTTGGAAATGAACAGTAGACTGAGGAGTAGGTCAAGGACTACTGCAGAAGGGAGCTGTGTTTGCTATCATACCTCTTATGTTTCAGGCACTGTGCTGGCAATGACACAATTGTATCATCATTAAAACACCAGCTTTTAAATTCTGTGATCCCAGGGGGCTTTTGATGAATATCATTTCTAAATTTCACAGCACCCTATAAGCTGGGTATGATTATTTCCACTTGACAGTTTAGCAAACCAAGGCACAAAGAAGTAGACAGCTTCTGTATGTCTGAACAGCTGGCAGGAGGCAGAGCAGAGATTTAAAAAGTCCGTTCTTTCCTGAGAGGCCGAGGCAGGAGGATCCAAAGTTTTGAGCCCAGCTTGTGCAACTTAGTGACTTAGCAAGACCCTGTCTCAAAATAAAAAGTATAAAAGGGTGGGGCAGGTAGCTCAGTGCAAAGGCCCCAGGTGCCATCTCCAGTATCACCCTCTCCCTTCTGCACAAGGGAGCTTTATCAGGCCCCAAATCTCTTGGGAGTTTACTTATCCAGAAAAGAAAAGATTAGAGAGGAAAATCTTTTAGGCCTTTCCAGCTCTGGCAGTGCAAGCACAATCCTTGGAGCTTCTCTCTGCCCTGGGGAGCAAGGTCCCCTCCCCATGCTCACTGTCCTAGTGCCCCTCTGCAGATCTGCGCTGGCTACAAATCTTGGTGGCTTGTGTTGGCCGGATGGGAACCACCATCATGTTGCAAATGATCTGCCTGGTGAACACCGAGCTGTATCCCACCTTTATCAGGTGAGTGCCTGAATGGGCCTCAGACAGGAAAAGACATTAAAATGTGTTATACATATGTATTGATTCTCCTCAATGAATGTAATCCTCATGTACTAAAGGAGAAGGAAAGAAAAGGCAATGGCCACCAGGCTCAGTGAGGACCAGTGTTTGCAAGATATTTCCTCTAGATACCCTCAGGGAGGATGAACTTGGACATTTGGTATTGTTAAGAACTCTTGCTCAAAGAGGTGGGGCTGGGTATCAAAGAGCTAGGGGACCTGAATTTTAACTATGTGTCTTTAACTAGCACTAACTAGTTGTACCAACTTCAGCGGCTCTGTTGACATCCCTGGCCATCATTTTCTTCAACAGCTGACATTTTGTATAGGGAGAAGCAGTGTTTCCATACACGTGATTCAGGTTAGCCCTTAGATTTGGTACTGAGAATTACTATCCCTGTTTCATGGAAGAAGATGAGGTTTAGAGACCTCATCCAGCTAGAGAGTGGCAGAGCCAGGGCCAGAACTGTATTATTGTTTTGTAATGGAGGAACTTTGTAAAACACTGTGGTAAAATTATGCATAGTACAAAATTTACCATCTTGAACCTTTTAAAACGAATAGTTCAGGAGTATTAGGTACATTCACATTGTATGCCCAATCTCCAGAACTCTTTCATCTTGCAAAACAGAAATTCCGCACGTTCATGTGTTCAACAGCCTCTCACTCCTTCTTCCCCACCAGCCCCAGGCAGTCACCATTTTACTTTCTGCCTCTATGACTTTGACTACTCTAAGAACCTCATGTAAGTGGAATCATACAATATCTGTCTTTTTGTGACTAGCTTATTTTATTTAGCATGATGTCTTCAAGGTTCATCCATGTTGTAGCCTATGACAGAATCACTTTTTGTTAAGTCTGAATAATATTCCACTGTGTGCATATGCCACATTTGTTCAACCACTCATCTGTCTATGGACATTTGGGTTGCTTCCCACTTTTGCCTGTTGTGGACAATGCTACTCTGAACATGGCTGTACATAGATCTCTTGCAAACTCTGTTTTATTTCAGGGATATATCCAGCACTGGAACTGCTGGATCATATGCTAATTCTATTTTTAATTTTTTAAGGAGCCTCCATACTGTTTTCCACAGCAATTGCACCATATTACATTCCCACCAACATTGCATGAGAGTTTCAATTTCTCCACATTCTCATCAACACTTATTTTCTTTTTCTTTCCTCTTTTCAAAGTAGTCATTCAAATGGGTATGAAGTATATCTCATTATGGTTTTCACAATTCTTTTTTTTTTTTTTCAGTACCGGGGATCTAACTCAGGACCTTGTGCTTGCGAGGCAGGCATGGTGCCACTGAGCTAAATCCCTGGCCCATTATGGTTTTGATTTCTGTAATAATTAGTGATGTTGAGCATCTTTTCATGTTTTTGTAGGCCATTTGTGTGTCTTCTTTGGTGAAATGTCTAAGAAAAAAATTTCCCGTTCTTGTGCTGGGTCACATGGGTCATTTGTGGTTGTTGTTGAGTTGTAATACTTTATAAATTCTAGATAATAACACCTTATCAGATATAGAATTTGAAAATATTTTTCTTTCATTCTTTAGGTTGCCTTTTCACTCTCTTGTGTCCTTTGATTTGTAGACATTTTTAACTTTTATATTTTCAATTCATCTCCTTTTACTTTTGTTTTCTATGGTTTTGATATAAAGAACTAATTTTTAAAAGACAAGTATGATAGAGTAAAATCTTTTTCCAAAATGTAGTTTGATGAGTTTTGATGATAAATATATTTAATTCTTTAAGCACTGCCATGATCAGAATAGAGACTATTTCTATTACCCCCAACAAGTTTCTTCATATCTCTTTGCAGTAAGTATCCATCTCTCTACTTCCATCCAGCTCCCAGTAGCCATGCATTTTTATTTCTGTCCCTATAGGTTTGTCTTTTCCAGGCTGTTAATGTAAATTAAATAGACTTAGTGTCTGACTTCTTTCACTTAGCATGATGGGATTTACTTGTCTCATTGCATTTATCAATGGTTAGTTCCTTTTCATTGCAGCATAGTATTTCAAGGCAGAGATATACCACCATGTTTTTCCATTCACTTTTTGAACAATTTCCAGTTTGGGGTGGTTATGATACAGCTGCTATAAATGTTCATATACAGGTCTTTGATTGGACATGTATTAATCTCAGTTGAGTGAAAATTTAGGAGTAAGATTACAGGGGTCATATGATGAGTGTCTGCTTAACTTTACATGAAGCTGTCAAATTGTTTTCCAAAGTAGCTGGATGATTTTCTGTTCCCACCATGTGTGAGGGGTCTAACAGCTCCACATCCTCAGCAGTGTTTGGTATTATTTGTTTTGAGTCATTCTAGAAGATATTTTTATGGCTTTTGTTTATCCTAATCTCTAACAACCTCATGCATCTTTGTATGCATTTCCTGCCATCAGAATCTTAGAAGTCTTGGTGTTCAATGAAGAATGTGTTAATTATAAAAGTAACCACATTATTTGGAGTTTTAAAAATTGCCATTATTTTAATCTGGCCTTTATTAAAATTTGATATATATTACCTTAAATTCTTTTTTTCCTTTATATAAGTTATCTCTTCTCCCTTTGACATTATACCAATGGCTTCTAAGGAACATTTCAGCTCTCCAGTCTCATTTTATACCAGCACAGTACTCTGAGCCCATCAGTAAGCCAGAAGACTCATGACTCTGAGTCACCCTTTCCGTTCTTCTGCCAATTCTTTTATTAAAAGGACATATCTTAGACTCTCATCTGTAAAATAGTTGTTTGGACTGAATACAAAGGGATGAAGGCATTTAGAGAGAAAATCTTTTGCATTGGCAGCTTTGAGGGCATAGTCTAAAATAGCTAGGGTAAACAATTTCATTGTCATGGCCACCAGACCCAGGGGACTGACTCAAACTGACAAAGGTTAGTCAGCTTTGTGTTGCTATAACAAAATACCTGAGATAATCAACTCAATGAGGTGAAAGGTTTATTTTGACTTAAAGGTTTCAGAGGCTTCAGCCCATGGTCACTTGGTGCTCTTGCTTTGGGCCTGTGACAGCACAGTACATCACGGTGGGAGTGTGTGCAGAGGAGGTCTGTTCACCTCATTGTAGCCAGGAAGCAGGGGGGGGGCGAGGGTGTGGTCCCAATTTTTACTTTAAGGGCACTTCCTCCCTTTAGGTCCCACCTCTTAAAAGTTCACCATCACCCTATAGTGCCATAGGTTGGTGATTAAGCCTTCAATTCCTTGGCCTTTGGGGGACACTGATCCAGACCATAGCAGGTACTAAATGCCTGGTCTTCTATGGTAAAGGCCAAGTAAGCCACCTCTGAGGGGCCCTTGACTTCTCTACAGACAGCATAGGTGATGAGGATTCTCAGGAAGTAGGAAGTAAAGCTGGGTGTTCACAAGTAACTTTAAACCACACCCGCCAACCCACAATTAAGATAGTCAGGCAAGTTCCAGTATTTTAGTCAGTTGAATCAAATGGAAATCACAAAAAGGGAAATAATTTTTGTTACTTTTGAAACACTGCAAATTCAAACAAATACTATTTGAACAATTTTGGCCCTGGTTCTTAGTCACAGGAGGCTTCTGAGTTGAGCAGCTCTCTTCCCTCTAACTCCAGGTAGCACATTTTGTGAGAACACTTGTTTGACTTTCATGCACACTACCCTGTTTGGAAAACTACCTTCCATTTCTATATCCTCATTGTATTATGAGCTCCTTGAAAACAGGAGTCATTCCTCACACTTCTCCACATCTGACAAAACTGTCCTACAGTGGTGCTAACTAGTCCCCAAATGCTTGGAGAATGCATGAATCAATAAAGTGTCCCAAAAGTCTGAATTATAAATAAGGGGTCTACCATTATATCCAAGATCCATTTAAGATACTATAAGTCTGTAAATTAGCTTAGTTGATAATACTTTTTTTTTTTTTTTTTTTGGTACTGGGGATTGAATTTGGGTCCTTGAGCTTCCGAGGCAAATGACAGAACTACTGAGCTAAATCCCCAGGCCAGTTGATAATACTTTATTTTGTTTGGTACCGGGGATTGAACCCGGTCCTTGTGCTTGTGAGGCAGGCAGCAGAACCACTGAGCCAAATCCCCGGCCCCCCAGTTGATAATAATTTAAAAGAAATAGATTCAAAGATTTCAAAGAAGTTTTTAAGGCAAAACATCTTATATTACCCATCTTAAAAAAAATAGACTGGGCTCCTCCAGGTAAAATGAACCATTACCTTTCTACCTATTGGTGGGCCATTGTTTCTTCCTGTAAACCAAGCCCATATTTTCCATAGATTCACAAATTCCCACTACCAAAATCATAAACATTCCAAGCTGCAGACTATAGTATGCCTCTCTTTTATAGACCCTGTCTCTGTTTCTTTGAATGTGTACTTTAAAAATTGTCTAACAAATCCCTTTATGCTTCTTAAAAATATATAAGGAGCCTAGTTCCCTACTTTTTCCAGCTTCTGTGTACTTATCCAACATTTTTCTTTTTTAACATCCACTTTCTTAAAATAGCAAAAATAATCAGGATGTCTTTTTGTTTTGCTCCTTTTGGAAATCCCAAAAAAGCTATTGGAAGAGTAAGGGAGAATGCAAATGTTATATTTAAAATCAGGGTCACCCTAAAAAGACAGTGTTTAAGAAGAAGGGCTTCCTAACACATTGAAGCCTCAGAGGAGGTGAGAGAACTGCAAGAGAGGATGCCTGTGACAGCTAACCTGAGAGAAAGCAGACTACATCTCAGACAGTGTGACCACACTGTAGTGCAGAGTAACAATGGGCATATGAGCTTGGACATTATGAAGCTGTAGTAAAACAGATAGTCAAGGCTGTCAGAGTAATCATGTAAGAATTGCTTGTGTAGCATCACATAGAGAAGTGGGGGCAGTGCTGAGGGTGCATAGTGAAGATTCTGCATTGTCAATCCCATAGATTAGGAATATGAGTGCTTAAAGCATCTAATCACATTCAACCCTAGCTGAAAAGATTATTTCTACTATCTCAGAACATGTCCTGGCCCCTCTCCCACAAACTTCTGAAAGTGGTTGATATGGGAAGAAATCGCAGTATTAAAAGATGAATAATTAAAAAGAAAACCTCAGGAGCCATGCAAACATCATGAAAAAAGGGGGGGAAGGAGAAGGAAAGGCAAATGGCAAAGGAAGACTATTCACTAGAAAAGTACTATCACAATGCAGATGAAAATTGTAATCAAGTATACTACCACAAAATGCAAAGTATTAATGAATCAGTCATGTCTATAAAGTAAGAATTTAAAGCAGAGATACAAGTTCTTGCTTGAAGACTATGTGGCAAGGCAATAGAAGAAATTGAAATTGGCTCAGGAAAGAAACAAAAATGAAAATTTAAAACATTTGGGAAGTGAAAACCAATTTGAAAGCAGTACAAATGAAAACAGATATAGCTAAAAAATAAAAGCAAGATATTTGTTGAACTCCAAGGATGGATTGATCCTTTGTTCTCATTAGTCTCCTTTCCCTTTGTTCTCTGTGTGCCTCCTCTTTCTGGCTATTGAGGTCCTGACATTGCTAGTCAGAGTCTCCAATACAGATTTTTCAAGACTTCCCTCCTGGTTTGACCCCACTTCCAAGGGCCCAGGACTCATATAAGCCAAGATCTTTCTAGACCTACTCCCCTGAAGATGTTGTGTTCTCCTCACAAGTGACAACAGACATGACCCTGGGAGAAGAGAAGTAGAATTGAGATTTAGTGCAGGGAGAACATGTGCTGTTATTTTCATCATTCTTCTAGCAATTCTTTAGGAATTACATGGTTGAAAGCTAAATATCTGACTGTATAATTTCAAAGAGGCATTCTTCATTTACCTGGGCAATGGACATCTCAAACCTATTTCCTCTCTTAGCTCAAGGCTTCTGCTCAGTACCTTGTGAGCTGGTCCATATGTCTCCTCCTGATCCTCCCTGCAGTTTTCACATGGAGTGCTGAGCACTGTACACCCCCTGTTATCTGTAGGTGCTGGTATTTTGTTTATTCTAGGATAAAGTTAGCATTTAGAAAATCGAATTGCTGGTACAATGTCTTAGTTACTTTTCTTGTTGCTGAGACAAGATACCCTACACCCAAAGTTAAAGGAGGAAAGGTTCATTGTAGTTCATAGTTTGTAGAGGTTTCAGTCCATAGTTGACTGGCTCCAAGGCAGAGCGGCATAGCAGAGGGACATCACAAGAGAAACAGTTAATTGAGGGAGGAAATCAGCAAATCAGCAAAGTAGTGAGGAAGCAAGTGACTAGCAGCAAGCAGGAACAGCATCCCTCTTTCTGTCCTTTATATTCTATTCAGGCCACATGCCCTTAGGCTGGGTAGCACTCACACCCAGGGTGGGCCTTCCCATTATCCACACTCAGAACTATGCCAAACCAGGGTTGGAGATTTAGCTCAGTGGTGCTGCTGCCTGCCTTGCAAGGGCAAGGTCCTGGTACCAAAAAAAAAAAAAAGCTGTGTCAAACCCATCACTAGACTAACTTACTAATCACATAGCATTGATCCCAGCATCACACACTTAATGCCAGCACCACACACTCTAGATCCAGCGACCTCTGAAAAACCCCACCTATGACTGCCTGAGGCTTTGGAGGGTATCTAGGAACAAGCCATAACATCCAACCACTATGGAAATCAGTATGGAGATTCCTCAAGAAACTAAAACTAGAAATTCCATTTGATCCAGTTATTCCACTTCTAGATATCTTCCCCAAAGAGTTAAAGACATCACATTTCAGTGATAACATGCATACCTATGCTTATAGCAGCACAATTCATGATAGCTAAATCTTGGAAGCAGTTTGTAAGTCCTTCAGCAGATGAGTAGATGAAGATGTGGTATTTACACACAATGGAGTACTATTCTACAATAAAGAAAGATAAATTTGAATAACTGGTAGGAAAATGGATGCACCTTAAGACCATAATGTTAAGTGAAATAAATCAGTCACACATGCTTAAACATTGCATGGTTTCTCTTACTTGAGGGGGAGAGAAAGGGGATGAAAAAAGGAATTAACATGTATTATTTACATGTAGCATCTCCATATAAGGAATGTAAGCCTTACGTATTGCAAACATGTACTGATAAAAAATAAATTAAATAATACTTTTCAAATGTAAAAAAAATGGAATCATAGAATGTAATCTTTTGGTTGTCTGTATTTTATTAGGGGCCTTGGGATGATGATGTGTTCTTCTCTCTGTGACTTGGGTGGGATCATCACACCCTTCATAGTCTACAGGCTGATGGAAGTTTGGCAAGCCTTGCCCCTCATTTTGTTTGGTAAGACTTCAAGAGAATTGACTATGTCTTCTTTCCAGCCTGGTGGTGGGTATGGTGTGAGAACTCAACAGCTGCTTGTTGAATGAATGTTGAGGAAGGAGCACGCTCTCCACTTGTCTCCTGGCTCAGTCTGTCTTGTTCCTTGGGAAAGACATAATGCCATGCCTAGGAAGTAGTCAGAGATTTACATCCTCTAGCTTCAGAATCCAACAATTCATCCTACAGGATAGAATCAGACAGACATTTGGGCACAGCCTATTTTCTTATGTATTTGATTGCTAACTCTGGTACATCCAGCTGGAGGTGTAAAGATGCTGAATTATCACCTGTCTTCTGCTTCTGGATCTCAAATATTGAGGACAGACCCAGGAAACAATGGAAATCCAAGTTCTGTATCAGATTTATTTCTGTCAAAGCTAGTGAAAGAGAAGAGGACTGCTATTTCTTTCTCTAAACCTAGATTGTGGGACCTCTATGTCCATCTTTCCCACTTGGTAGAGGGTAAAATGAATGGTTCTGTGTAGGAATCTGCCATGGATGGTACAGGTGAATGCTAGAGGAAGAAGAGGGTGGGAGGAAGAGAGGAAGAGAGAAAGGAAGGATGGACTGTGGGGAGAAAGATAGGGGAAAGAAGTTGGGGGAGGACAGCAGGAGAAAGTGAGGGAGGGGTGAAATAAGAGCGATCCTCACTGCCCACATGTATATTGGCTGTGCTCTATATTTACCTGTGTGTCTACATCAATATCTACCTATTGTAACTAGCCAAAATTTTGTTTCATATTGTTCTTGAGGTACCTGAATCAACTTCCCCTAATTCTTTTCTTTGGGGGAGGTACTTGAGTTCAAACCAGTGCTTTTGCATTGAACTACATCCCCAGCCCTTTTCTTTTCTTCCTTCCTTCCTTTCTTTCTTTTTTTTCTTTCTTTCTCTCTCTCTCTCTCTCTCTCTCTCTCTCTCTCTCTCTCTCACCAGGGATCGAACTCAGGACCTTCTGTTTGTAAGGCAGGTGGTGGCACCACTGAGCTAAATCCCCGGCCTCCCACCCCTTTTCTTATTTTTATTTTGAGTCAGAGTTTCACTAAGTTGCTAAATTTCCCAGCTGGGCTCAAATTTGTGATCCTCCTGCCTCAGCCTCCCAGAGTGCTGGGATTGTAGGTATGTGCTACCATGCCCAGCTTACATCCCTTAATTCTTAAACATTTGTAGAAGTAAAATGAAAGCAATGTTTTCTTATGCTGGCATTTCCCCAGTTGTTCCATTGGTTTCATTTTCTACCTAAATGTTCCTGATAATTAAAAAAATTTCTCCCATCTTCCATATGTTATCTGGACGCTCACTGCAGTCACTTCTGCACACGGTATTGGCCATGCTCTGATGGCTCTGTGTGCAATCTGTTTCATTTGAAGGGGTGCTGAGCCTGACTGCTGGAGGAATGACGCTGCTTCTTCCAGAGACCAAGGGGGTCTCTCTGCCTGAGACCATTGAGGATGCTGAGAATCTCCAGAGGTGAAGCCCTGGGTGCTGGGGTGGGCACCCCAGGCTCCCCATTTCCCCAATTTCAAGGTTTAGGAGAGCATTATAAATATTTGTATATCTTGGTCTTACTGCCAGACAGCTGTGAATGGAAACAAAATTCAATAGCCCTTGACTATATGTCAAAGAAGAAGATGGTAGGAACCTGTGTGCATCTGTCAGCGATGTGGCGGTTGGGCACCAAGACCACAGAGAATTAAAAACTGAGTTGACAGCATCTTAAAATCCACCTCCTGACCTGCTAGTAATGGTTGGTTCAGATTCTTTAGTGACTTTCTTCATAAAGAATGGCTTAATATCACCATTCTTGTGACAGAGAGTATGCTTTAGTGGGGTTTCAGGTTCTACAAAGTGCCTGTGAGGCCACCTCTGCAGCCCTTTCCAGGCTCAGTTCTTTAGTTCCAGTGTGCATGTCCCTGTGCATAAACAGAATGACCTTCAGGGTCACAAAGACCTGGGTTTAAATTCACACATGGCCCAGTGATTTGGGGAATGTTATGAATCCTTCATAGACTCTATTTCCTTGTCTTTATGTAGCCACAGTAAAATTTAATTTAGAAGGTTGCTGTGAAAGTTCCTTGAACTCACATGGGTGACTGTTATTAATCCATTGCTAGGCACCTAGTAGGTGCTCAGTCCATCTCAGATTTCTCCGTTCTTCTTGCAAATTCTTTGGTTTCCTCAGTGATTCTCAAAATTTAGTGTTCAGAAGAATCACAAAGGAAACTGGCAAAACTGTAGATTCCTTGGTTTTTTAATTAGTTAATGAAAGTGGTACCCAGGAATCTGTTTGAAAAAGTTTGGCCAGTGATGGTTATAAAGATAGGTGTTCTATGAGGCTCACTTTGAGAAATTCTTTGTGTCTCGGGACACGTTAGGGACACTAACTATACACATATTTTCCAGTTGTTGATTTCCTTGTTTTGGGTTCCAAATGATAGAAATATGTAGCTAATGTACTATCTAATTTACATTTATTTCTTTGTACTTTGTTAATATGCACTTGATGATCTTTTAAGATGCTTTGTTTAATACTTCATAACCACCCCTGCCCTGCTCAGGGAGGCCAGATGCTCCTGTTCTGAGCCTGATGCCCAAGATCCTCTGCTCTCAACAGAACTCTTCATGTTGTATTATAATCGATTGTTTCATCATCTTTACCACTATATGAAGTGTGATAAAAAATACAGTGCATGTTTAAATTTTAAAAAATATTACAATAGAAGACACATTGCCTTTAATCCCCCTTTAAATACTCTCCCTCATTTGAAACATTTACCCAATCGTTCTTGCCACTCTCTGAGGCAGTTCTGGAAGTCCTCTTTCATGAATGTCAGTCACACTGTTGCGGCTTCCTCAGTGACCTCAATAATTCAAAATGTTGATCTTTCATGGTCATTTTGACTTTGGGGAAGAGCGAGAAGTCACATAGTGTCAGACTCAGTGAACAGAGTGAGTGAGTACATACTCTAATGTTTTTATGAGTCTGCCTTTCCATTGGATAGCATTTGGCAGCAGCATTCACTGTATTTTTCAGTATAGCTTGTAAAGATGCTTATGAAAGGAGACTCCCAGGACTGCATCAGAAAGTGGCAAGAATGATGGGATATAAGTATGGTTGAACTGAAGAGTGTTTTGAGGGGGATTACTGTTTGAGTGTCTTACTGTTATAAACTTAAAATTTAAACATTTATTGTGTATTCGGATCACACCTCGTAATATTCCTTAAGTAGCAAGCTGTCCATGGCCACAGAGATAATTTCTATCACTCCTTCTTCCCTATTTTCTGAGGAAACAATGGGGAAATGGGACAATGGGATATAGTCTGGACACTGGCCAGCCTTTATGGAACACTTGCTCTGTGCTTCCTCACTGCACCTTCTCACCTCAGCCTCTCAAAACACCATGCAGCAGCTACTATTGTTATTGTACCCATTCTACAAATTAAGGAAATGATGACAGGTTCCCTGAAAGTCACCAGATTCAAAATGGAATGTTGACTATAAAATTCCTGAGTTAGGAAGCAACTGGATATGTGTGCCACCTCAGGGGTCTGCAAAGCAGAGTAAATATATCTGGCCCTGGGGCTTGATGGTCTCTCTTGCCACCACAATTCTGCCCCCATTGCAGAAAATAGCCCAAGCCAATAAGCGGATGAGTGTGTCTGGACTCTAGTAAAATTTTATTTATTTACATCGAAGTTTGATTTGATTTGATTTTTCAAGTGTCATGAAATATTTTAATTTTTTCACCTATTTAAATATTTTTAAAAGTTCTCATAGATCATATGAGAATAGGCCATAACCCAGAGGTGGACATGGGCTGTGGTTTGCTCACCCCTATTACCCCTATTTTTCCTTGTTCTTTGCTATCTTTGCTCTCTGTTTTGGGATACTTCTGCATAAAAATTTGTAACAAGTTTCTCAGTTAAAGTGTTGATTGCTTACTGACTGATGTCAACTAAAATTTTTATTCCTGGTTGCTACAGGAAAGCGAAGCCCAAAGAAAACACAATTTACCTCCAGGCCCAAACATCTGAATGCGAAGGCACCTGAGAGCTGCTTTACTAGGAGCTGAACAGAAGAGATGAAGAGGGATTTATCATTCAAAAAAACTCCCAGAGATCTTTGCTTTTCTGTATTCTTCCTCATACTTGCTTGCCCCAAATTAATCTCAATCCTAAAGAATTATCTGAATGTGCTTTGTCTTGACTTGTTTTATTTCTTAAGCGCCCCAAATCTCTATCTTTTATCTGCTCTAGTGAGAGCTGGTGTTTCCGTTGGTATCAAGTACAGTAATTAATTACATAAAGTACTTTGGAGATCAAATAGAAATTAAATACTGTTACCAAAAAGGTCCCCATAACTGTTTTCCTAAAATGGTCTTGTTAATTTACTGTCTGGAAGAAAATTCCTTTACATTTGCAGAAATCTGAGTTGGTAAAAGCATTTCAATTTGTAGATTGCTTGGTGGCCCTTGGTTTATAAACATGGTGGCTCTTCCAGCAAACTGTATTTCAGTTGAGTTTAAATAAAGTGATGGAAGAAAACATGATCCCCCTTTGAAGACCATTTTAGGAGGGATGTTTCATCCACCTATGTTCCAGGAGTATGTTACTCTATGTCACTCTTGGATTTGGTTCTTAATGGTGATTCTAGAAGATGAACTCATATGCTAACTGTGAAATATCATAATAAATACATCAAAAAATGTTCACTTTTACCATGAGTCATGTGCTTCTTGAACACCACATAGTGATCTTATTATTGAAGGAAACAAAAAACTTTTTTAAAAAAATTGCTTTACCTGTAAGATAAACCACAAAGACAACGTACCAGGCAGTCCTCAGAAGTTCCTACTGTGAATTGGAGGCCTGATCCAGCTAAGGTAAGTGATGAGCACAGGCTGAAGGGCCTGAGATGGAAAGCTGGAAGGGAGCAGCACTTTGGGCTTCCTTTGAGAAGGGACAGGGCCTGAGGTGGAGCTCAGTGGGAAAATGCTTGCCTGGAGAGAGGGAGGAAAAGCCGGAGGGAGAGGGAGAGAGAATAGGTATTGCAACTTGGAAAACAAGTAATCCTTGAAAAAGAAAAAGAAAAGAAAAAGAAAAAGAAAGGACCTTGTCTTCTTAATCTTCTTAATTCTGGACACACAGTGAATCTAGTGCTTCCCTTCAGCTTCTCTGTAGCAAAACTTTCAACTGTGTCTAACACTTTTGATCATAACAATGACACCTTGCTGGTAAAAAGTATGCAAATTACAGTCTTTGAAGAGTGTTTTTCAAATATGCACTAAAATGTTCTATCTAACCTTTCTTAGCATCATCTGAGAAACGCTTTTACCAAAGATCATTAGCAGCACCATCCTCCCCACCCCCAACTTCTTTCTGTTCTACAGACCCGTAGGAACAGTGCAGAGCATGCAGGTTCTTGTGAGTATGGTGGAGGGCAGTGATACTGACTTAGAAAACACAGTAGGTTGGGTCTCAGCAAGGTCCATCTGAACAGTTGAATGGTGGGTCTCAGGAGGCAGTGTCCACCAGGAAGGTCTGTCCATGGCATGGTCTCTAGGGGAAGATAGCCTGTGATCCCAGCAGCCTGGGAGGCTGAGGCAGAGGATAGCAAAGTGACTTAGTGAGATCTTGTTTCAAAAAAAATTTTTTTTTTTGGTATTAAATTCTTTTATGGGTACATTGTAGGTATACAACACAATTACATTTCTCATTGGGAATTGTACCTTTACATAAAGCATCTTGGTTCTTCATTTTCCCCATTCCTAGCCCTCCCTTCACCCCCTCCACCCTTCCCTATTTATAAAGACTTTATTTCCATTTGTTCCATTTCTCATCATTTTTCCTTTCCCTTCTTTCCTTTCCCCTGCCCCTCCCACTACCCCTAACCCTTTGGACCTCTTCT